GATTTGGCTTCTTGGTCACTTTTATTTCAGTTTAAAAAAAGCAGAAAAAGATATAATAAAACAAAGAAACCCGTGCCTCTTGCTAACAAGAAGGCCATATCCGGCGATTTTTTGTGGCTTTGCATCCCCAGGGTGTACTTTGTCAACCCTGTGCCCCCCCCCCCCCCCCTCTGCCAAGGCCCTGGTCGTGCCTCCGGCCCCTGATGTCGTTCATCGTCAGATCTATCAAAATAGTCCGTACGTTCCCCCGCGGAAGTGGTTTTGTTTTTCTTGATGATGCACCTATTCGTCTTTTTAGGTTTGAGAATATGGTGACATGAGACCAAAGCACCAAGTACTGCCAACGCGTTACGAGAAATAAGCACATGATGACGGCGCAAAATCGTTTCCAGGGTGAAATGTACGGGGTGGACATGCCATGGGTTTCATCTTTGTTGATCCTGATATTTATGCATTTAAGACTAGGCTACAAATGAGATATCTACAATACAGCTGACAGGAAAAAGGCAGCTTTGCATTTTTTGGTAGACGTCATTCATTTTTTTCTATTTTACCACCACCGTTAAACTCTTCAAAAACTTATGCACTATGAGTGTTTTGCATAACAGGATTCATTTGTCATTCCTTCAGTCCTTGCTGCATCGACTTGGTAGCTGGTGGTAACTTCCGCCATTTTCTCTTGAAGCTAGTCATATTTCAATACTACACTATTTATTAACACCCAATATATCGTCGCTTAAATGCGACCCGTGATCAATACTGCGTCAGTTCGCCTCCTTGGCTGTAAAAGTCATTGTACGTTGGATTTTCCAGCATATATTCAAATCTGCTGAAATTTGGGTGCGAACATATCAAATGTGAGCGTTTCACAAGCTACGTTATTTTGGCACTCTTTTCATCTCGCCCCCGGAGGTTTACCCGGGACGTCGATAGAGAACCTACTTGCGAGGTTGGCCCCGGACCCCTTTACGGACAAAACTTGCAAGACTGATATCACCTCCCTCGTCCCGCCACGCACAGGGCTTCCTAGTGGCATCGGTTTACACGAATAAAAAGATATCCTCTTCACATAGTAGTAATGCTCTTTTCACACGGATTGCGTATAGTCATAGTTATGAAACATTTAGCCATGTGGACCAGTTCGGACGAGACAGACGCGTGGTGGCACCTGTCAGGACCGGGCCGACAGGCTGGCATGTAAGTAGCACCACCGTGGTGGTCCTAGTTAGGAATGCGCGCTGAATCATCTTTTATCAAGGACTGGACACACTTGGGCTGGACACTTACGGACTTTTAAAGGACTGTCAAGGATCTATTTCAAGGACTGTCCGCCCTGGGAAATCCCGGCGCCCACAAAACTTTTTGGCGTGCTTATTCTGCGGCTTTGGTGGTGGTACCTAGCCGGTTCGTTTGGGTATCCGGAGTCTTGCTGCGTGACGTCAAGTCCGCCTGCCGCCCCTACCAAGCAGCCGGTACCGGCTTGTTTTATGGCGCCGGGCTAATTCCTGAGTCAACGTGTTCCTTGCAGACGGTGTAAAGACGGTCATGATATCATCTGCAGCTAGGCAGCTTGGCAACACAGATATATCGGCTTGCAGCTTTGCCATATACGTCTTCTGGTCTCCGATGCAGGGTAGGATGGTGACGTAAACCGAGCACCAGGCGCCATTGCTCACGGGTGTGCCGAAGAGACAGATGGAGGCGATGGCGACCAAATCTTAGACTGAAAGTCATTCTACGACGCTGAACATCTAAATTCACCACAACGCGGACGGATCCTTTGGATCCTTTCGACCCCCGACCTGTCTTGTCACCGGATAGAAGGGCCTCTTGGATCCGCTCGACCCCCCCCCCCCCCCTCCGACGTGTCCTGTCACACCGATCAGCCTGGGCGTCGCCCGGCTACAGCACTACCGCCCCGCCTGCTGCCCCCGCCACACACCCTGCCCCGCCGCGCCGTCGCCGCCGGCCGCTGAAGTCAGCTCCATACGTCAGCCCGGCTCAGCCAGGGGCGTAGTCGTGGTCGCGGCATATTTGGCGCGCTATGACGGTGGTGCGGCGCGGCCGCGTGGGCCGGCGCATTCTGGGGAGGGGACGGAACTCAGGGCTGCACCTCTGCAAAGAAGGCGGTGGTCAGCACCAGAACAGCAGCCTGGGACAGCTGCTCGTGTCCTGCCCACACACCAGCATATTTCGCGGGTTGGGTACACCCATAAATACCCGTATGAAATGGGTAACAGGAAGGGTGAGGTGTAGATTTTGGTAAAATTACGTGTGTGGTTGAGACGTTTACCAAATGCATGGTAAAAATTTCAGGTAATACTGCACGATGTCACTGCTTTTGATTCTTCTATTTGTCGTACTCACACTGCTTTTGCTACTATCAATGCAGAATAGTTAATTTGAATCTAAACGTTTTTGGTCCACTTAAATAATTGGAAGAAAATAATGGAGGCTTAAAAACCAATGATCAACACAGTCCCATGGTAAGTGGGGAGTAGGAAAAAGGATATATTTCTTGAGAAAACAGACATGGCGTTCAGTCGGATGATTAAAAACGTAACCTCAAAAGTAGCGACCACAGGACGATGGTGATGGGATCTCCGTCGCCAGTAATGCCTTGACGCGCAAACAGCTGACTAAAAAGCACTAAACCGATTAGGTTTCGCAATACAGATAATTTCGGAAACATAGGTTTTGTTCTAGTCACATTTTGGTAGCTAGCACCCGACTAAAGCACATTTCAGATGATTAACACTCGCTTTGAAAACATTTTGTACGAATAACAAAGTGCCTTGCCGCAAATCGGCATTCGACCAAAGAGCAAAGACAGCTAATATTCGAATGAAGACCATTTTGGGAAATCGGTATTGGGCAAGACGGCATTTGAACTTCTTGATATTTCATGAAGTTGACGCCTCGGCAAACAGACTTGTCGGCTAATTGCCTTTTGAATTTCATCCTTTTACCTTATTGACACGTGACAAAAAGACACGTCGACAAAAAAACATTCGGTTGCATGCTTTCAACAAAAATATTTTAAAATGTTCAATGTATTTCCGTTATTTGTCCGGTTGACGGCGGTGACATTACACAGTCCGCTTCAGTGACTACACTTCGTGACTCAAGTGTTTGTATGTGTCTGGATGGCAGTGGTGAAGTTTGAATGTTTCAGCGATTCTAAATGAAACATCTGAGCGTGGCACGGCATTCGCGCTGATGAACCTCGCTCATGGTCATTTTGCACCCGCTTCCTACGGCCTGTATTTCAACCTAATACGTCTGGATGAAAAGGCACCTCTATCACAACAGCAGTGCAGCACAGTGGGAGCCATTCGCGCTGATGAACCTCGCTCATGGTCATTTTGCACCCGCTTCCTACGGCCTGTATTTCAACCTAATACGTCTGGATGAAAAGGCACCTCTATCACAACAGCAGTGCAGCACAGTGGGAGCAGTGGCCGGGAGCCATGAGCGTGGTCCACACACTCGCTTGTCACTGACCGCAGCCATGTGCGACAACCAACTCCGGATGTCGTAGAAAGTAGGTCAAGAAAGTAGGTCGTAGATCAAGCGCCGGGTGGAACTTGGACGCCCTCCGTAGCGTGACAGTGATTCTTATATGCAAAAAGAAAGGAAGGAGTGAAACAGCATTTCAGTGACCCTAGCAGAAAGAATAGACCAAACTGCGTCCATTTTCAACGACTTGTTTGAGCCCGTTCTTGCATCAAAGTGATAAGGTGTCCGCACCAGATATTGGCTACATCTGAGTGCAAAGGACAAACTCGCGATCGCGGATGTGATGTGATGTGGAGTGTGATCGTGGATCGTGACGCCACAGATGACCGGTCGCTTTCCATATTTTTCCATTGCAGATTTCCTGGACAATGTGAGCGTGGTTACACGTCAATATGGTGTGTAGTAATGTACCCCAATGTTATTGAAGTCGGTGAGTAAATGCTGTATGCACCTATTTCATTCATTATACTTCAGTCAGAAAAATACAAGCACAACAGCTTCTATGCAGATGGTCGCGATATCGTTGGTATATTGACGTCGCCAATCCGATATGTTTGTGGATATGTTGTGGATCAGGTAGGTGCATACATGCGTCCAAAATAGAACTGGCAGCCCGCTTATGACCGTGCTCCTCAATTGGTTATAACACAGGAGCTGTTGCAAGATGGCACGATTTTCAAATATAATAGCTCGATAGCAGTACTCTCAAACTTCCAAATATAGCATTTCTCCCTGCCGCAGCATTACAGCGAAATCAATCAAACATAACGCTGCAAAACTCGCAATATTCCCGTCTTCCGTAGCAGTGTGATGGGAAAATATGATGGAAAAGTATCGTTGATTGTTTTTTTTTTCACGGGGCATCTGCCAGACAGTTTGTAGCACACAACGCCATTTTCCCTTTCTAGCTTGGTACGCTAAACATCTGATCTGAGTGTTTGGCATTCTGCGAAGTCGGGTCACATAGTTGCAACCCGTCTTCAAAAGATATGCGCAGCGGAAATGCAATACTTTTTCCTCCACTTCGGCGTGTGGGATAATCTATAGTATGGAGTGCGCCTGTAGCATATATTTTCGTCTCGTGTTTCTCAGGGTAGACGAATGTTGTGGTTTTTGTCGTTCGGGAATTGGCATATATATATATATATATATATATATATATATATATATATATATATATGCCAGATCATATCAAGGCTTAACTTCCTGCTATCGTTTGCGCGCCTATTAGTATGGTGTTTATTCACTGTGTACTTGTATCATTGCCAGTTGCAGCTCCCAAGATTCCTTCGATCATCTTCAAAAACGCAAATTTCGTTCCGTGCACTGGCAGCTGCTTAAAGCAAACAGCCGTTTATCGTTGCCACTTTAAAGACAGCGTCCGCTCGCAGCCCCCTCCCCGCTCTCGCCGGAGTTGGCCGGCAGAGGTGCTGATGCAGTGGTCTCCGCTGGCGAGCTCTGCTGGCGGGCGGCCGCCGCCA